ATTTATCGCCCCACCAATGTGGGCCCCACTAACCATCCCTGGTTTTCTATTTCATGGGTCTTCCACTTTCCTTTTTCTGAAACTCTGCGGGAAAAGTTTTAGCTTGAAAGGCGGCTTAGACGTACCTTAGAGGAAATAATGATGGGCTCCTAAAAATACTAATGATGGACTGTGAAAATAATGATGGACTGCTCCCTTTTCCAGGCCTTCAGACAGATATAATTGGGAAGAAGATGACATATTGAAGATTGCCTGGGAGGATGGGAGGGAAGGAAGATTTGTTCATGCTAATTGGCTATGGACCTTGCCTGTGTCTTTCCAATCAGCACCGAAGCATTAGGAGGAATATCATTACATCTTGCTTTTTCTAATTAATTCCTAATTCTTCTTTCTCCATCCCATTCTCTGTCCAATAACCAGGTCATCAATAGGTATGAAGGATCATAAAGCCATTTCTTAATTGCCAAAATTAAGGATGGATGAATCTGTTGGTTTACCGCTGTGGTTCCCCCCCCCCTTCCAACATTATGTTCATTCTGTCCTAGTTTTCCATCAGTTCATGATTTCCCTCCCTAACAACATGAAATGCACCCATATTTTCATGCACACTTTTCCTGGCATGCATAGCATAGTGGTTTGAGCCTTGGACTGCGACTCTGGAAACCAGGGTTCAATTCCTCACTTGGCCATGGAAACCCACTGGGTGACCTTGGGCAAGTCACATGCTCTCAGCCTCAGGGGAAGGCCATGGCGACTTATTTTATTGCTTAAAATAGTAATTTTGAGTGTGTCCCTCTCATTAACAACGTCTTGACTACACTCTGATGTTGCTCAGCCACATACATCCCAATTTCCATATATAAAATGTTGATGGGTATGCAAGATTTTCATCCATCATTTTTCTCAATTTTCCCTTGTGTTGTTAGTCTGCCTTTGCTCAGGAAAGTGGAAAGAAGCAGGAAAAGAGGAAAAACACATTACACATGGATTGGCCAGTCAAGGAAGCCACTGCCCTAAGTTTGCAAAAACAGGGCTGTTGATGTCTGGGACTTATCTAGGGTTGCATCTATACTGCAGAATTAATGCAGTTTGACACTGCTTTAACTGCCACGGCTCAATGCTATGGAAGGCTGGGATGTGTAGTTTGGCGAGCTATTTAGCCTTCTTTGTCAGAGAATTCTGAGTGACAACAAACTGCAAATCCCAGGATTCTATAGGATGGCACCATGACTGTTAAAGCATTAATTTTGCAGTGTGGCAGCAGCCTAGGTCTTTAATTTCTAGGGTTGTCATAAGCCAAAGCTGTCTCAGTTGCAAATAACAACAATTGCCGCCCTTGCTTTACACGCTTTCTTGAGTTTTCTCCTCCCTGCAAACTACGTTTCCAAACTCGCTCCTTTGATCTCTGCCATTTCCCTCCTCCTCTTGATTATTTTTTAAAAGATAATGTTTTCATATTAGCTGTGTTTTCTTCTCCAGAAACTCTGGTGGGAGCCCCTGGGTAAAAGGAGCATGCAGAAATGAAAGGCAGTGCAGATCTATGAATTTTTCAAAGTTAGCAGAAGCCTTTGGGTTAATTACTACTTCCTTTCCATTTGGGGATTGGGCTGACTTACAATCAGTAGTAGAGAGCATTCTTGTGGCAGGAACTTGCTGTGATGGAGATGTATGTTGTCACACAGTTGGGCAGGAATAATGACATTTCCCAGAAATGTTGCTTGCTTGGATTTTTTTTTTTTGTCGTTTCCCTTTGAAAATGGAAATAGTGAACCCTTAGTTTGAGATAGGGTGGATACACCGTTGATGTGGTGATGGCATTGGAGAGAGATCCTTGAAGGGTGAGATGCAGGACCAGAGCCATATGAAAGAAAGCCTTTAGCCTCTCTAGGGTGCACTAGGGTGGGATATTTCAGTTCTTCCAGACTCCTATTTTGATGCAAAATCCATGCAGGACTGGACCTGTAAAATAGCCTACAATTCTCTGATGAACTGTAAACAAAGAAGCACCACTTTAACCCATTGGCGCATACAATTTCCCCCCTGAAAGACAACTGGACCAACAACAGAAGACATTGTCAGCAAATCTATTGCATTTTGCCATAACAAATAAGCCTCTGGACCTGCTGTGCTCACCCATCCTAATGTAGGACAAGAAGGTTAAATGGCTCTGCTGTTTTCAGTGTCTCCACGGCAGAAATAATGCAGGCTGACGGTGCTTTAGCTGCCATGGCTCCATGCTAGGGAATCCTGGGATTTGTAGTTCATGAGCAACTTAGCCTTCTCTGTCAAAGAGCTCAGGTGTCACAACAAACTACAAATCCCAGGATTCCATAGCATGGAGCCATGGCAGTTAAAGTAGTGTCAGAGTGTGTTATTCCTGCAATGCGGATGCAGCCCACTTGCATCAATGTTAAAAAAAAAAAGAAATTGAGTGGACATAGGCAGGAGTATTGAAATGAACCCTATTACAGTTTAATATCTGGCACTAAGTGGTGGTTTAGGATCAATGAGCCACAAGGAAGCTTTCCTAATTCTCTGATCCTGCTGCAAACCCATCCCAGCCTCTTCTCCATGTTCCGTCTTTGAAAGCCATCTTTGGGACTTTGGGGAGACTTCTCTGCCTTGAGCTGGCAGGGTCCCCGGTGAAGAAGAGCGCAAATTCATCTCGGAAGCCACCAGAGACCAATTGTGTCATTGACGGGAATGTCTGTTGATTAACTTTTGGATGAAGTGTTTGCTTCTGCCAGGCATCCGATGTTTTATAAATGAGCAATTAAATGCAGGGAGGAAAGTGAGCAAGTGAGGATGGGAGCTCAAAATGTGATTTCTCTCTGAGCGTGATCGTTATTGCTTCAAATTACTAGCAGCCCCTTATGCAGCAGCTGTGGTTCCTTCCTTCCTTCCTTCCTTCTCTTGATCCTCTTTCTTTCTTTCCTTCCTTCCATCCTTTCCTCTCCCTCTCTCTCCCCTCCTCTTCCTTCCTTATTGAAATATATTATTGCTCCCAGTTGGAGTGTCCAATTGGTATCAGTGGAAAATCAGGCATCAAGGATGATTCTTGGGGACAGGGTCACTAGTGGCTGTATCTGAATCCTCTCCAGTTTGTAATCTGACCTTTATAGGATTTACCCAAGATGTTGTAATTGGGATAGCTCCTTTTAATTTTGGGCTAAAATCCAGAGCTGATCTACTGTCCTGCTGACATGAGAGACCAGAGATGCCACTGGGAGCAGATTGGAAGCTTGTCCCTGTCTCTCCTAACCAAAAGTTCCTTGGGTTCCATTCTTGCCAATGTCAGGGGTCAACCTTTTTGGGCACCTGTAACTAAGAGGAACAAGGGCCTACTGTACGATTAAGGAGAACTGGATGCCCAAACATAGTGGATTTGGCCTCAGACCTCACCCATCACTTGAATCCAGCCCCTCGGAACTTCTCTAAAGTAGCATTCACACTGGAAAAGGTTCTCCATTCTTGGACTAGTCCAAACTTCATTCTAAGCTTCTTGAGCTCCTTTGTATCGTGGTTGCTTTGCTTTTATTTTGCATTCCTGTCCTCTTTGTGCAATTAATCTTTCTGTTTTTCCCTTTTCCCTTCTCCTCCTTCCCAATCCGACCATTTAGGATTCTTGCTACAGCTGGGACCCAGTTTGACCTACGGACGCTGAGAGCCGTCAGAGTATTGCGGCCGCT